TTCTAAAATACGAATTGAAATGTAACTTCTGAAGGGAACTTATAAAGGCATTGTTCAAGCAAATTCGTTTTACGAATAAGTACATGCAAATTTTCGTTCGCTAAAATCTCTTGTCTGATTGGAGGGAGTGTGTTAAGTTGATTTCAGCCGCAAACTTCGAAGAATAGAAGAATTGATTGCATTGAAACACGCAGAGCAATTTCAACCCTACCGCGAATGTATAAAGTTGAATTTTCCTATGAATATTTCATTTTGTCGTACAACCCGATAACAGGCTTTACATTTTTCAGCATTATTGCAAAGAGATAGAGTTTAAAACATGGTACTTTGCCAACGTTCGTAGTAGTTTCAAAGAAATTCAAACCTTGTACTGTAAGTCCGAGAGTTACTTTTTCTAAATTCTATAATGAGTTGTAAGTTTAGTTGAAGTTATTGGCGAGGGACCAACAGAATGGTCGTCGATTCGATTCCGTTCAAGATAAGTGCCGGTTGGACAGTGAGACTAGATATAAATTGGAACTTACCTTACAATGGTCTGGCCAGACAACTCCTAACTGCAATCAGACTCCCAAGGGTTTATTGAAAATCTTGGCAATGCTGCAAGGTTGGATTATATTCATAGATAATGCTGCAGTAGCTGGAATGTATTCGTAGATATTGGTACATTGTTCACAATATATATTGTTGCATATTTGTTATGTATTGTGGGTGAGCCATGCTTCAGCACAAAGGGGCTGGCTTGACCGCTGTAATACCACGACCTCATAGAAAACGGCGTGAAACAACTACAGCGCTGTGTTTCGCCGTGTGATTGAGGTTACAGATGGTCAGTACTTCCTCAGTCTCTCAACTCTTAAATTTCAAAATCCTGTATCCCCAAAAGTCTGGCAACGCACTTGCAGGTCCTCTAGTACTGAGTATGTCCGTGGTCCCTGATTGCTTACCATCAGTTAATCCGTTTGCCACCGTAAAATAAAACCCAAAACTCTCATGCACGAGGATGTGAGTTCGATACCTAGCGAATACCAACGTGACTTTTCCAAGTTATGCTATTCCGAAGTTTATTTAGATACGACTGACAAACTTTTCCGAAACTAAATATCAAATTAAATTATATTTGATATTTTATCATCGCGTGTTCAGCTCCTTCAGCTTAACATCGACGAATCTTATTTACTAACACAACATATCAACAGACAGATAAATAAGTGTAACTAGTCATTCCTTTTTCTTCTAACACCGACCTTTAGGCACCGACTTCCCTAATTAACACCATGTGTATGAATTTTCCCCTTTATCCTGGCTCCCAATGATTAATGTTTGGCTCACAGTGATTAATGAAGGCTTAGTAATTATAGGCCACGGTGGAAAATGTACAACCACGTGTGTTGTTGGCATAATAACATATTTTTGAGCTACGTAATGCATCTACACATTACAGCGGACAGCGAGTGCTTTAAATTGTTGGATTTACAATCTTACTATTTTATAATAGGGTTGAAAATACGATTTGGATAAGCTTGGTATTTCTGTTTTCCGAGTACAATTTCTTACAGCTCGTTTTTGCTTCTTGAGTTTGCGATATTGCTAAGTTCAGGACCAATATATGTAACCCTACTGACCACCCTGCAAGCTATGTATGTAAACCCGTGTTTTCGACAAATAAAATGTCTTGCATCTTGTAGAATCTTTTCGAATTCATATGTCTTTTTATGGGATAAGTGCGAGCATAACGAGCATAACGAGCAGACGGATTCTGATTGTAAGCAATCGACGCCGTTCATGGACAATCGCAACATCAAAAGAGTTACGAGTGCGTTGCCGGTCTTTCGGGGATAAGGGTAACGAATATTTAGGGATTGGGCCTCCGGTAACCTCACCCACACGGCGAAATACAACGCTGTGGTTGTTTCACTCTGGTTTTCTGTGAGGCCATGGTATCACTCTGGTCGAGCCGACCCATTCGTGCTGAAGCTTGGCTCTCCCAGATTTAAAATGATTAATTTTTTTTAAGATCATCATTCTACTTTGTGTGTTTTAATCGGTTTCTCTTTGTGTCATGGGCAATACCTAACACTATACATTTATAGTATAACTAGCTTTTGCCCGCGATTTCGTTCGCGTGGACTTCAGGTTCGTCCCGTCTAGTCTAGTAATAAGTAAGAAATACGGTAACTAAGCACTGCAAAGTCCTAATCATAGGTCTATAGGTAGCTACTGCAGTATGCTCCTATAAACTACATTTAACGATATTTTTCCTTCAGTATAAACATGCAGATTCTTCGCTTTGGAAACGTAAGCGCAAAACATGTGTTTTTTTTACGACCACACATTAGAAACCTCAAAAATTGTAGCCTATGTGTTATTCTGATATATAAGCTATATTGTGGTAAAGTTTTATTCAAATCTATTCAGTAGTTTTTACGTGAAAGAGTAACAAACATCCATACATTCATACTTACAAACTTTCGCCTTTATAAGTATGTAGTAGGATTTATAGTTTATAGTATATAGTATAATTCGCACTAGCTTTATGTAGTATAATTTAAATAAAGCTACTAAACTACATCTTGAAGTCAAACTTAAGCCCAAACTCACAAGAAGTTTTTGAAACATCTTCGAAGGAAAACTGCAAGACAAACGAAGAATTTCTGAACCACTATTAATTCATATTTAAGTTTCGCTCAGCGGATATCCGGACTTTACAGATTGAGAGCACCCTCAATATTTCAGATAGCAAATTGGGCACGCTCGCGTTTCGCGAACGAGCAATTCAAAGTGCTATCCTCGGAATTATTAATAGGATACCATAACATGAATTCAACGGGATAACTGTAACAGGGTGATGACGAGTTAAATGCAGAAAGGAGTTAATGCAAACGCTGAGTTTGTTAAAGTGAGTGAGGTAAAATTTGTAAGTTTGTATGTAGGGGGTAATCTTTGGAACCGCTGGTCGGATTGCCAAAATTTCACTAATAGATAGCTACAATGTTTCTGAGTGCTATAGGCTATAAAGCATTACTTTACGATTAAATGGAGCTGAGCAGCGGGTGAAACCGCGCGAGAGTAGCTTGTATGTAATAATATTGGAAAATGTATGGGGAAATCGAGCTAATAGGTCTCCGGATTACAAACAATCGTTGCCGCTCACTGATACTTGCAACACCAGAGGCTACCAGAAGAGTGAAGCTGGTTCATTCCAGCATATTTTTTGTGGATTTCCCACGTGTATTGTTTTCACATTTTCGACTAGGCTTTTTTCAGTTGCGAAGTCTCTTTTTGCCTAAGAAATTCTGTTTCCTGCGTTAAATATTTACCAAGGGAGTGAAAACTATTTTGTTTTCGTCTCTTCAAATAATATCTTCTGGATTATTTCGTTGCAGGATCCAAAAAAGTTATTCATGTGCCTGAGACGCGCCAGATTTCGGTGTTTTCATTGCGTATTGGGAGGTTGTGGCGGACTTCACACAAAAATACTTACATTTGTGTTTTGTGGAGGTATTATTCACATTATATGGAGATTAAGAAAATGGAAAAAAAACTTAAAACAGTCCGTTATTTGTCTTTTTATAATATAATGTTTTTTTCAATTATGTAATGTGAAAAACTAGAACGCAATAAAACACAGGATCATTGCGTAATTGGATAAAACTTTTTACCTTAACAATAATGGGTTTACCATTATTATATCGATACCTTTGGGTAGAAAAGTCGTATAAACCAAAACCCGACTTTTCAGGAGAACAAAAAAACGATTTTTTTTTTGACAATAAAATTCATATCTTTTTTGTTTTTAAAGTTATAAAAAAATAATCTATGAGAAAAGTTCTTACAATTTGCAAATGAAACCGTTTAAATCATCAAAACCTATCTATCTTCTTTAGTTTTAAAGTTAGCTTGGATTTACGTCTCTGTAAAAACCAATTCATGGTTAATACACCCCATGAAAATGTAATTTAAAAAAACCGTATAGGTCGTATATCCATTTACGATAAGCTTGTGGTCACATTTATTGTCGTAAAAACCAACATATGTAGTTTTATTTGTATTAAAAACCATTTATATTCATGGTTCAATTAAATTCTGACTAATAAACAATCTTGTTACTCTCAGAGTTAGTAGGAACTCAATTAATAAATAAAAATACTCAATAATCCAGTATTAGTTTCCAACTAGTCAAATTCAATACTTTTATCGAAATGTCAAAAACGATACTTTTCTATGAATTTTGTATGGAGATCGCAACATATGACGTCATAATATTTTTGCGTCAAATAGTATACTTATTTCAAAAAATTAGCTAGATAAATTCGAAAATTAAGTATATCGTCAAATCTATGACAAGTCGAAATAATTTATTTTTGACTGAGGAAACTACCCAATTGGTCGATTTAAAAATAAAATAAAACTACCTGAAATACGAAATCAACATTTATTAAGTATTATAACACCTTCTAATCAACATAAAATTTTTAAATTGAAAAATAATTATAACAACTTAAAAGTGACATTAACAAAAAATTACTTAGTCACAAAAAAAAACTAAAATTATTCAAACTTCTTCGATATTGATGTAATAAGGCATTTAATCGTTTGTAGAATTATGACTGGATCATTTTTTGTACATAATTTAAATGTACATAATTCAATAAACTATTGAATTAAGCCTTTGTACTAAGGCTTACTTACTAAGTAATTTGTTGAAATGCAACTTAATAAAAAAACGAACAAGCACTAAACGTAGCTAACTTATGTACTAAAAAGTAACTTATTTAAGTTATAAATTTGTATTCATAATTCGTTTAAAATTGTTTATTTATGAATTGTTACTTTATATTATTTTAATTATTATTATAAAATTATTTTAAAACGAATTATCATTTGAGAAATACTGACAAAAAATAAATTTAGGTGACAAAGAATATATAGGTAATCATTTAATATTATGAAATTACGTAAATACGAACTGTTATTATTCTTTTTCAATCATAATTGAATTATTAAATTAGCTCTTCCTCGTCTTCTTCGTCGGTTAGCGTAAGAGAGTCAGCCACATTGCCATGGGGTAAGTTAATATAATCATGGTGGTACCTTTTTGGTATAATGCCATTATCACATAGACGTTTTAAATCTCTGTATTTTACATCTGATATTTGCAATTTGTTTTTATAAAGTGCAGTTGGGGACATTATCATCACCTCTTCATGTGTATTATTGCTTACACCTTCTTCGGGTAATATCGTACGGCTTTTCGATCTTCCTTTACCTCTACCTTTACCTTTTTCTTTATTGCCAGATTTTTTAAATAATATTACTTTATCAGTTGACGTCTCTTCTTTCATAGAATATTTAATGTACATTACATTTGGATTCTTTTTCTTTAACGTAATAATTCGGATGTTTCTAATTTTCAGGGTTTTACAAGTTTCAGTTGTAAATGTCTCAGCAGTTATTTCATTCCAATTGAGAAAATCTGAATACTCCATTACATTAACATTATAAGGCCTAGGATTTTTTCTCGCAGCCTCAATGTATGACGGCCATTGCGTTGGACTCCAGACAGTAATTTTTTTAACTTCACGTTCAATAGTTGCATGGACTGAGTCCACAGGCATGTAAGTGTGCCCTGGTAAAAGATAATTTATCTGAATCACTTCTAATTGCGTTGATTTCATTAAAAAGTAGTTCAGAACAGATAAGATAGTCTTATTTTTATTCTGACCGGGACAAGAGTCACAATAAAATAAAATATTTTTAATGCCTCTTTCATCTACAGACTTTAAATAGGAATATAGGCATGTAGCGATTTCATTTGCTCCACGCTTTGCATCGCACTCCCCCCACAAATAGCAAAATACCTCTTGTGTGATACTTTCGTATAAAGTAAAATTGAATAATGCATACTTTCTAGAGTAATATAATACTACACTATCACCATATGGAGTATTTAAGACTTTTTGTAAATCAAAAGTGCATACTATAGTGTCACTTTTTAATGATGGCAACCTTTGATGCTGTTCAAATCTTTTATAACTAGCCTGTTTTTCGTTTAAATGTTCCTGAAGAGATTTTTGGTCACTTTCACTAAGCTCTTTGTTATTTTCTGCTTTGACACACAGTATGCACTTATCCTTTTTAGGAACATGGAATGATATATTATACTCATTTTGAAATATACCTCTGAATATAGATTCACTTACAAATTCAATATTTGAACTTTGACATTCTTTTAAATACAGTCTATAAAGATTAGATACGTTTTTTAATTCTTGTGGAAGGTAAACTCTATTTGTTCTCTTTCTATTATAGTGAGATGGGACGGCAGGTAATTTTTCAATGAACTGTTTAACTTGCGTCTTTGCAAAGTCGGAATACTTATTTGAAGTGTTCCGTTGGCGACGGTCTTTTTGAGCCATTTCATTCGCAGAGTTATTTAAAGTATACAACAAAAACTTCTGAGTTATATCTAAGGTGCTGATCAGAAACTTTTGGCATACTTTTTGGTGGTCATCACCGTTATTGACGTAATACTCATAAGTAAGGTTTCTTCTGCTTAAACTTGAATCAGTTCTTTTTCTTGCACAAGGTACAATGTGTGTACTTCGTACCAACCAGTCCTTTCGACGTTGCGAGTCCAAACTCCAGTAAAAATTGAATAAAGTTGCTCGTCTCTCCTCCGTTATATCGTAGCAACCTCTTTTACATTTGTCAGGTTTACAAGGGTTACTTTGCATCTTCTTCTCCTGTACAACCCTTCCTTTTTCAGTTTCATATTCTTTTCCCTTATCCTTTTTAATTTTTCCTAACTTTCTTTTGTTAACTCTTATTATTTTTTTTCTTTTAATTATATCTGTTTCTTGTTTTTTAAATTTCTTCAATTTTTTTTTTTTAGTCTTGGAAGTGTCGTCATCACTTGATTCACTTGTATTTTCTTGAACCCAGTCGTCTGAACTACCTGCAGAATAGTCACCAGTATCGTCATCAGACAAGAAATCTAAAATATTTTTGTGCATGCCACGTACTGGACGCTTTTTAGCTTTTTTAACAGACATACATGGACTTGCAGGGTTAGTGTTCTTTATCGAAGAAGTATCAGTATAAAAGTTAGTTTGTATATTATTATCTGCAGAAGGTGAAACAAGGTCTGCAGCGGCATTGTAACCTGAAGTACTTGCAACGTTAAGGATATTTTGTTCATCAAGAGCGGGTAAAACGGCCTCAGTTTTGTTCATCGAACTTATGTCAGTATTAATGTCAACTGTAGGAGATAAGCCTGAACTTGCAGCATCAACATTGTACAGAGAAGTATCCAGGTGAGTATCTATATAAGCTAGAGTAGACAAATCTGGGTCTGCAGTAGTATCAACATAGTATGGCAAAGGTGTCGCAACATTAAGGTCAGATACATTTACTGGAGCTAGTGTATTTGATTCTGTATCGCTGACAACGTACATCGAAGGTATAACGGCATTAAAGTCAGTATCGACATCCACTGGGGTATTGATCTCATCCACATTGCTCGTGGATAAGGTGACATTCTTATCCGGGGAATTATTTACAATAGTTATAGAAGATGAAGGTAATACATTTTCTTTGTTACTTTTTGTATTTGGCTTTTTAACAATTATATTTGAAATTATGTTAATTTTTTTATTCGTGTCAGCTTTTACAGGACTATTAATCGATATAGCATCATTGTCATGATAAGGATGGGATAGTGAAGACGTATTCTTAGACGTGCTAAAAGAAACTTCACTATTACTGGTGGTTGAATCCATAATTATTGTTTGTGGTTTCTTGGTACGTTTTGCAGGTCGTTCAGAGTCACTGTCTTCTATAACGTCACTATCCGATAAAATACTCTGTTGTGAATGTTGTGATATATTGTGTGGCATATTAACTGCTGGCTCTTCTTGTTGGTTTAAACTGAAAATAAGAAATAAATAAATAGATTTAGGATAATAGCTTAGATAAAAGTTACGTCCTAACTATTCTAACTATCTAACTAATATTATAAATGCGAAAGTAACTCTGTCTGTCTGTCTGTTTTTCTGTTTGTCTTTCCTTCACGCCTTAACTACTAAACCGATTTGGATGAAATTTGGTACAGACATAGTTTGGAACTCGAGAAAGGACATAGAATAGTTTTTATCCCGAAAATCCCGCGGGAACGGGAAGTTACTATTCCACGCGAACGAAGTCGCGGGCAAAAGCTAGTTTACTATAAAGGTTCAAATCAAGCAATAAAATTTATCATGTCGAGCCCTTAAAAATGTTTATTGTATTATTTTAAATTAAGCTTAAGTAAAATAAAATAAAAACACTATCTATCTGGCTACATTTTAGAATTCTTATCGTTATCGTCACCATGGAACCGAAATTTTATGCCATACAATATTGAACTTTATTTTTATAACATTACACGTTGTTTTACTTTGTGGTCGGGCCACAATTTTACTGAGATAAAAGGGTTTTTAAGACATCTCTAAAAAAAAATTAGTTGTAAATGCCGTCTAATATTAGTAGCATATCGTTTGAGGGAATAAAAGAAAATATTTTAAGCGAAGAAGGTCGTAAAAACCATTTCTTGCAAGATGACGAAGATAGTTTATAACTTTTGTTACGTCGTACTTGCTAGTCTATTATAAAATATCATAGCTTGAAGGGTGTATAAACCATTTTCTAGAAATTGTTGAGTCGTAAATGCGGATTTAGCAAACGTTACATGTTAAATTAAAGGAATGAAAGAAAATAATTTTGAACGCAGGGAAGTATAAACAAACTGCAAGCGATCAAGGCCTTTTTAAATCAATAATACTAGGTCGTATATCTTAGTCCATTATGAATAGTAGGTACCAATAACAAAGGTACATAATTATCAATTAGGCAGTAAGTTCACATTTTAAATTTATACTATGTCTTAATTCATTATTTTTCTATTGATAACACGGATTCGTCTACAATAATTTTTACCAAATAAGATAACAGTGTCAAATAAAGTGTGTAGTACTCACGTTTTCAAAGGTTTCAACCGTCGACGTTCGTATATTGCACTAAGCACTTGCCTCCGTCGAAGTAAAGCATCCAGGATTCCTTTTTTAGTGTCACTCTCCATTTACACTATTATTTAGTCACTACAGTACTTATTTGTTGTAATTACAACAAAATTTGAAAACTAAACGTGAGACGAAACGTTCAGTGCGCGAACTCACATCCAAGTAAACAAATACGCCACCCCGCGCCGGTATCTGTCTATCCCGCTCGCTCTTCTGCCGTCGCTGCGCGCCAAATGCGAGCCTTGTGTGTTGGTCGTAAAGTGCTTCTTACAATGAACATGGTTTATACACCAACGTTGCGAACTGCGTTTGGATTTACGACGTATAATTTAAATTATGTTTAGGTAATGCATTTAACACGTTAGGGTGTATAAACCATTTACAATTGACGAATATTTTACGCCCTGAGTTAATATAAATTATGGTCATTACATCACAATAAAACTACAAAAGAAAAACATTTGGCTCTTACATTGAAAATTTCCTTTTTTTAAGAGGCCATGACCGAAAATTTCTGTGTCGTATTAACCATTTTTGTGCGAATTTCGGCATGTCGTATATACAGATCGATAGAGAAAAAAATTCTGAGAAAAATGGTATATATAACTCAATTTGGCCAAAATGGTTTATACGACCTTTCTACCCAAAGGTATCGATATATTTTCTTTTTGTAAAAAAAAAATATTTTTGCATTGACGTACGTATACGTAGGAGCCGTCCATATTGAAATCTGTGTTGGTTTTGAATTCTTTTTATTCGTGCTAGAAATATTCGTAAGTACTTACTTATTCTTTTTATTTCAAATGCAATTTGGGTTTGAAATATACAATTATACATATACATTATAGGTATTGTAAAACAAACTTTAACTAAATGGTTTCTGCTGTTATCCCTAGGAGTATTTGCATAGAATAGGAATTAAATAATGATTTGAATATGTTAACGTCCTCCTGATAAACGTATTTACGCTCAGGCCTAATTACTATTATCGAACTTAACAAGATTAGTCTATCCTTCCCAGCATTTTAATCCAATTCCTAATATTTTTGTCACAGCTAAATGATTTAATTAGCTATCTAACCAATGGCTTGAATTCGAAAGTCGTTTGATTGAATGGCTGAATTTCTCATTAAACCAGTAAGTAGCAGGGTGAAGGAATTGTTATGAAAACCAAGCTGCTACAAGAAAAATAGGTAAAGTTGGGTTAGAACTGTAAACCGCTCAGAAATCGAAACGCAATCGCAAATAAACAGCTAATCAAATTATACTGCGATCAAAGATAAAAGCGCTAATTGATTTATTGAATGGCTATTTTAACAAGTTTGCAGCGACATTGCTACAAAATTCAATTAAAATACATTCAGCCAATTCGGCAAATAATAACAACGCAGATGCGACACAAGAATTCAACAAACCCTTACTTTTATAACCCCAAAAAGGTTCTCGTGTACGGAACCAGCATAACAAAACCTTGGCATTCAATCTCCATGAATGTAAACGCGTTAACGTAATCGTTCTCCTGTCGCTAATCTAATCAGGGAACCCTAAAAACACTCGAGCAATTGTTACTGGGTAATAAAATGGGAATAAAGGGCATTGGGACCGCGATAGTACCGGGACATGGTTAGTTATGGGGTAAACTACGTGATTGTACCTACCGATGAGGCAAATCGTCTTTTGTTTCCGTTTTCCAAAAAAAAAATATATGTGTACTTTTGTTGATCTAATAAATACCACTTACATATTATATTTTATTATATATTATCTCTGGGTCACACACACACACTATAGACATTTGGTATCCTGGTCCTGTAAGAGAAGCCGCTTTCAGAAACTAAAATTACTATACCTACACAATGTAATAAAATTACTACACACAAGATCACTTATTGAATATATAACAATACATAATAATTTACTCACGTTAAGTAATTAATTGAGAAATGTTTTACTACTTTTAAGTCATAACGGGACTTGTATTCATGAGCAGCAGTGCATGCAAGTGTGGGAGAGCCATGCTTCGGCACGAATGGGTCGGCTCGACCGGAGTGATACCACGGCCTCACAGAAAACCGACTGAAAGAACCACAGCGTTGTGTTTCACCGTATAAGTGAGGTTACCGGAGCCCCAATACTATCCCTCCCCCAATCCCTCGCCAATCCTTATATATCTAAATCCCTAATCCCTAAAAGGTCGGTAACGCACTCGTAACTCCTCCGTCGTTGCGTGCGTTGGACATTCGTCCATAGGCGGCGCTGATTGCTTACCAGCAGGTAATCCATATGCTCGTTTGCCTATTACATAAAAAAATATCGCATGTAACGCTGTTGGTTTTCTAAATAAATAAAAAAAAAACAAAATCTGGTACATTGTGGCTTTAAGACTCTAAGAGCCCTTAGTATGGATGAGCATTATCTGTCACTAATAATTGTTATACTGATACTTATAATATTTTTTATGTATTTATTATCACTGGTATGATAATACTAAGTAGTTTAATGGACGCTATGGCGAAGAACAGAAGAGAATTATGAAATCAAGCATACTTTTAAAAAATGCGTTAGAGTGCGCGATAGGCGCGCAAGCTTAAGTGATCAGTCGACTAACCAAGTTACGGGACCTTTAGTTACGGGACCGGGATTCAAAACGGGGCCCTTGTCCCGTTTGGAATTGAAACTGTTTAATGCGAGTAAGAAGTTATTTTAAATAAATTTAATAGCCTTCTTGGTTGTTCCCTTTCTTATAGTTACGAACCGATAAAATACTATTTGAAGAAACTGTTGATTAAACTGTACAATACAATTTTATTTATAACCTATAGCAACACTCTATGTCAATTTAAAACTACATTGTTTATCCTTTATTAAAAGTACTTAACGAAATTGTACTAAGTTCAAAGACCTCATGCTTAACAGCATGACTAAAGAAATTGGACGATTAACCTGTCCACACGAAGTATTGAAATTCGAGTCAGACAAACAAATCACGGTGTTGGTACTATGTTCACTAAGCTATCTATAATTTTTAGATACCGTTTGAAAATCGAACGTGAACTATGGTTCCTTTTACAATTTTAAGACACGAAAATATCTTTTTTTTTATGGAATAAGTCAACAAACGGTCAGACGGATTACCTGATGGATCGAAGCAATTGGCACCGCCCATTGACACCCGCAACATCAAAGGAGTTACGAGTGCGTTGCCGGCATTTTGCGGATAAGGGTTGCGTATATAAGGATTGGGAAGGGATAGGGGAGGGGGACGGATTGGGCCACCGGTAACCTGTCTTACACGGCGAAACACAATGCTGTGGTTGTTTCACGCCGGTATTCTGTGAGGCCGTGGTATCACTCCGGTCGAGCCGACCCATTCGTGCCGAACTTTGGCTCTCCCACATTTAATAATAATGTTCAAAATGGTATTATATTATATAAGTTTATTCACGATACGTCGATTATGTTTTATGTAGTTTTAATAGTATTTGGGATGTCTGAAATTATACTTGTTGAAAAGAGTTAGTTTTATTATATAACTGTTGAAAAATCACACTTAAATAACGAACTTCTATTTTTTTTATTTCATTCTTTTCCTATCACGTGGGTGCTTCAAAAACATAAAATAGCATCCCAGACCCGAAACAACGATTTATGAATTACACAAAGTGTGGTTGATGTTAGTGTGGTTCTGTGTGGGAATCGAACCCACGATACGTTGCAAAGCAGCCTGTTGCCCAGCCAACGCGCCAACCGTGCAGTATAAGTCTGAGATAAGAGCCATAAAGTTGATAACCAAAACATCTTACTTCTTACATAAAACGCATAGAAAAATGACGTTGAAAAAGAATGAAGTAACTTATTCTTTCAAGTGCTTTGTATAAATCTTACATGAATAACATTATAGGCGCAAAAATCGCATCAACCAACATCACATCAAAGTATACCAAACTAAATATACGTATCCAAATGATATTCAACCTTAACATTCTATGGTAAAGTTGAAAACCTTTTCAATATTATTGTAAAATGAGGATACCTGAATGTTCAGCTGTATATGTCTGCCTAGCGAAGTCAGTCTCGCTTTGCTATGCAAACGAAATGTGCGAAGACGTTCATTAGCACATTTTCAATAGCTTTGTGAGCCTTTGTACTGCAGGTACCAGGTGTACCTTCTAGATATAGGAACTTAGATTGAAAGGGTAACAAGATTTTTCTTTGAAATTTGATAATATCTTGGCTTTAATAAACCACAAGCGAAGATATGGATGTAGATCTAGGTTGCGGCTTCAAGTGCAGTAATGTACGTGACTCCGGCCCAAAGCAGAAGGAACGGTGTCAGTCAGTCAGTCAGTAACAGTCCGACTCTCTCTCTCTCTCTCTCTCTCTCTCTCGCCCCATCTAGGGCGGGAGAAACCATTTGACGATTTTCCTATGTAAATAAATACCACGGCCTCACAGAATGCTGGCGTGAAACGACCATGGCGCTGTATTTCACAGTGTGAGTGAAGTTACCAGAGACCCAATAGTTCTTTCCATCTCCCAATCTCTTAATCTCCGAAACCTTAATCCCCAAAAGGACAATAACGCACTCGTAAGTTTTCTGGCGTTACGAGAATCCATGGGCAACACTATCAGGTAGTCACTCTGCTCGGTTGCCCTCCTACGTCCTATCAAATACAAAAACATTGTTCACTTATAATCATCTTCTCCAATCCTATAATAATTTTTGTCAACACTAGGTACCTGAGTGCCACTACAAATGGGGAAATAAAATTCGACGCCCTATCTCTGCCAGCGGAGCGTGAAGTGACAGAGAAATGCCAGTAGCAGCACAAATGCCAACAATTACCGGCGACTGGCACGCCGCCATTCGACGATCGTGCCAAAACCTGGCATAACGCTGTTGTTGTCGTTCGACCATTTATTTAGTCCCCTGTTGTAATGCACTTCGATAGGGAAAGTTGTGTTGTGTTTTGGTTGTAAGCTTTGTGTATCGGAGAGATTTAATTTTATTCAATCTTTTTTGGGTTTTTTATGTCATAGTTCGGTAAACGAGCAGACG